TAGCCAGTTTTAAATTTAAAACGGAAGAGTTATTAGCCTTGGGCTAAGGCAATAATTACTCTTGGAGTAAGCGGATTGCGATCTGCTGACTCGTACTTGTCCTAAGTATAGAACAAAAGGTCGGTGACCTAAATTACGCTTCCTCTAAGCGCAACGCTACGGCAACCCCGCTGCATCATTTCTTCGTTTGTACCTTGAATTTCTTGCCTTTATCTGCTTACTTCGCATAGGGATGACCTTTTCTTATGTACCTACACGGTACGACGAGATACTGAAAAGTGCGAATTTCGTTGCCGATTGATCGTACCGCTATTTTGATCTGGCAGCAGAGGTGTTTTCCAGTAATAATAGACATACAGGCTCATTGAGCCCTGATCCGGCACTTCTGGCATTACTCAAGATATGTAGCGATGTACTTCTTCGTCTAAGGAAACTTATCTGTGATGTTGGTGTTAATCTAACCTTCACCTTTTCTCTTCACGAGTTGCAAATTCGTCCCATTCTCAAATCTCGGCATTTCTTCACGAAAAGTCGCGACTCAGCTGCGAATCTAATTTATCTGAACGAATTGGATTTACTTATCTACAAGATAATGTTACCACAACTTTAGCGGACCTTACCACGTCGTCATTATGAATTGAAATTCATCAGAAACGTTGACCTCGCCGGTCAATTTCTTCACACCTTCTTTCAGAGGTTTTGCTCCAAAAAAAGACATAAGCAAGGGCAAGAAAGTCACTCCGCGGACAATGTTCAGGCCCTCAGGTCCATAGCCTTCGTTAATATTGCTTACCTTTCAAAAAACAGCGGCCAGACAATACTCTCAAGGTTGAATTTCCGATGAAGATCACTTTCGATTACGCGCCTTGTAGAGTAGGCACGCGTTGTCTATATTACATACATCTGTTAAAGTCAATGTTCTAAAGCAGCCGTCCTGCCGGCACGACATATAAAGCTTGACTTTGCAAACTACAAAACACGACGTCAACTTATGACCTCGCGATCTTCCTGTCAACAATTTTGCTCATCTTCACGAGCCTTGTGACGAGGTTTTACGCACCCTGGTATGAAGACGTAGGTCACACAAATTGATGTGACCGTACAAAGTGTTGCTACACCTTACCAAAAAGCCAGTACGTGGCGGGACTGCCAGTAGTTATGCATTTTTAATTAGGCTTTACTATTTAATCGGGAAAACCTATAAATTTAGATTTAGGCGGCTCTGCTGCAAATAAAACAGATAGATATAGTTTACATTTTTAACGGAAAGGAACATTTGCCTTGGATAAGGTTTTGGGTACTCTTGGAGATAGCGGATTGCGATCCGCTACACTCGTACTGGATGTGGGTACAGAACGAAGGTCACCGACCTAAGCTGAGCTTCCTTTGTGCAACAAGCTACGACAGCCCCGCTGCAAATTTGCGCCACAAGACCGCTTAATAAATGTGATATCATCGACTGTGATCCCGTCCTTTTACCTCCTCTTTGACTCATGCAAGACCTCGTAATTGGCCGACGGCTTGTTACAGCACGAGTTATAAGCAATAGGCCAGTATGTCTTAATATTTTGCCACAACATTGGGAATCATTGCACTTATAAATTTAATTAGCTAAGTAGCTGTGTGTGCAATTCCTTGATAATGAAAACGTAATGCACTAAGTTTAAGCTGCGCTTCGGGTTTACTGATGCTGCCAGAACACGATGCAGTAATAAGCGCAACGCTCACAAAGACGTCATCCTGTAAAACCATCCCGTTTGGACCTACTTCATGTACCTTGATCCATCTATGCGCTAGCGTTATTTCTTACTTGAATTTCTTAAATTGACTTAGGTTGACCGGCGATCACCAAGCTCATGACGTTCAGAGAGTGGATGCGTAATAATGCCTTGAATTTAGTGTACGACATTTTGTTTTTTGATACGGCAGTATGATGTCGGTCTTTTATGTTTTTGAACCTCCTCGAAAGAGTGACGCCAACCATCACCAATAACTGCGTCGCTTTTTATTGCGTCGAGCTCCGCGGAAGACCAGGCAGTGGTAATTCATTCAGCAACGAATACCCACTGAAGGTAAACATGGCACATACTAAGCAACTAGATTTGAGCAAATCGCGCGACGACGAGAGCTCCTCGGCTTCGTCTTCTGGTGACGAGCAAGAAAAGCATGCAACGACGCAGGATTCCGAAGAAGAGAATGAGTCTGGTTCTGATGAGGAATCCGAAGCGTAAGTGATCAACTGCATCCAATATTTAACTTCGCGATCATTAGTTTACTGATCATGTTGCTTTTATTGTCAAAGAGAGTTTGAGATTCCACCAGGTTTTGAAAGAGTTAAAGGTAGCGGTGCCGTGACACGGGAGGCTTTTTTTCATAATGAACAGGAGCTTTGGTTCTTTAAGCTGCCTAGAAATGTATGTGGTATTGCAACAACCACCATTTGTAATGAAAGTGACGTGTTTATGCATTGTATCGTGTAGCTTGACGCGTCGGTGCTGGCCAACGTCACGATTAAAATGGACGAGAATAAAGCTGTTTCGTTGGGTGAGTCTTTTGCTACTGTCACAGCTGGGAGTGCGAACAAAAAGTACGTGCTGCAAGGTGAAGATCAAATGCTTACCGAACAGCTCGTGAACGCTCTGCCGCTCGCTTCAGATCGAACTCGCTTCGTCCTAGGCAAGCCGTTTTCACGGTGTTTTTCACTTGTCGACGAACATGTCGAAAAAGTATCAGTAACAAAATCAAAGAAGGAGGAGACTACTGAGATGATACCTGTTCGCGAAAAGCGTAAGAAGAAACACTCATCCAAAAAGCACGATAGTCATCGCAAAGCTAAGAAAGCTAAGCACAAAAAGTAAAGATATATGACATCCAATAATTTGAGGAGCATTTGATAGACACATGCCTAAGATTATTTCAATTCTTGTCATTCTATACTTCCATTAATATCATGTAAAGGTTGTCGTCTAAAAGAGTAGAAGTGGCTCGACTGGTGCCTTTGAGCGATTGGAACGACCAAGTTCTTTGCCCTTCTTTTTCGTTTCCTCTCTGTCACCACCACTTCTCAAGCTTTTCTTCTTTGGACTACTCTTCCTAGACGACTTTTTTTTATGGCGATTTTCATGTGAACCATGCTCGTCGTTGCTATTCAGTGAATCCTGACTTCGCGATATTTTGATGGACTTGGAGCTTTTCGACAATTCTTTCTTTTTTTTCTTCTTGCTACTCTCGTCTACCACTGTCATTTTGTGTTTCGGATTCTTTTTCCTGGCCTTCTCCTTGTCGAATGATGGTGTCTGGCGATGAAACCAATGATCTGTTGGAATCTTCTCATCTTCACCCAGAGGAATACTTAAATCAACGGCAGCCAAGTCGATTTCCTACAGGCACGAAAACAGGTCAGTAAGAATCAGACCAGTAGCATGCAATTTGAAATCACGTGACACACATTTCCATCGACTGATTCGCGCTGTTTTCGAGACCGTCGATGATCTTCGTCGCTTGAACGAGCGCCGTCAGGCATCATTTCATCCTCCAGAACATCACGATTTTTCACCTGCTTTCACAACAAAGCCAACGTAAGCCTTCAGCACCATAGCAAATGCAATATAGTGCATCGCACCTTCGATGCCTTCTTCTTTTTGCCATTACCAATTGGTTCCATAGCTAGCATAACACTTGCAAGGCCCTACGTTTTGTCAACACGAACGTCAATTTCTGAGGATATTTTTTAAGCCAACACTGCGCTCGCTTTCCTTACCAAGTTACTTGTGTCGCCTGAAACCCCGGAACCGCTCGATAAATAAAAAGGATCCTTGCGCAGACGCTCTTGCGCATCAGCATACTCACGCTTTTTCCGTTCCATCTGATCTGCAGATTTTTCAGATTCAGATTCGGATGAGGACGAGGAAGAGGAAGAGCCACGGCGATGTTTGTGTTTAGACTTGTGAACAGACTTCTGTCCAGAAGAGCTGTCACTAATACCACTGTATCCCCCACCAAACCCGGCGTGGCCCTGACTCACGAACGAGACCTCAAGCTCATTCTCGCTCAAATATGCTGCCACGTCTCCACCAGATTCCAAATACTTTGCTTCGGACGGATTCAGCGGCTCATTTAGATCGAGATCTTCAGGAATTGGCACCTTACGCTGTGCTTTCACTCCGACTGGAGCCAGTCGTTCTGCAAAATACGAGTTCAAAACATCTAGTCGCGTTGCAGAGTCCAGCGACGCACTACCATTAAAAGCTCGCTCCGTACGCTCTTGAGCCGTCAATGCTTCTAATCCCATTCCTAACGCGAACAAGAGCTGCTGTAGACAAACAGCACGTTCTTGAACCTCAATAAACTCACTTCGGGCGAAAGTAGGAATACGCTTCATGACACCAGTTGCAATCCGCTCCACCGTATCGTCATCTGCACGCTCAGCCATGGCCACAACAACTTTTAACAATGCTTGAATGAAAATTGTCTGGACGTGACCAGGAAGAGTTAAATTTCGTGGCTCGAGCATTTCATCTGCAAGGGTTTCAAGTCGCTGAAGTTTTTCTTCTTCTGTCTCGCCTTCTTCTTCACATTCCTCCTCTTCATCATCATCGACATCCTCTAAGAATTCCGTGACATATTCACCTGTGATCCAAGCTGCTGCATAGTAAACTTCTTGTATCGTACTAGATCCAGGGCCACTAAGCGCCTCTTTATCCATCAATAGGTCTATCATACTATCCACCATAACGCTTCGCACACTTTTTACACGAACTGCAATGTCGATAAGCTGACGTGCCACCTCCACACCATGGGACCGCTTTTCAAGCGCATTTTCAGTTCCATTCGTCATCAAATTACTAGAACTTGAGCCAAGAATACTCCCTGATGGTGGAAGAGAAGATAATAGAGACCCATCGACGGCAGCGGCGCTATTCCCTGGTACACGGGCCAATTGTACTAAGACGTGAATATACCAGTCAAAATCGTGAATATTTGCATACTTGTTTACGGAACAAACGTGTAAGATATTCGTTATCAACGCATGCCGATACGCTCCATCGGTACTGAGGGTTTGGCGCATAAGTTCCCGAATGATTGGAGCTGCATTGTCCGGATTGACCATACCAGAAAGAAGCTCTAGTGCTCGCATACGAATCGTCATGTCATCTACCGCTAAACACCCAACGATTAGCTCTTGATGTTCGATAACGACATATGGATGTGACTTCATTAAATTGCTGAGACCAACAAGGCCCAAGTAGCGCAAGTTCTGGTCTAAATCTTCAATGTAACGACGCAAATGATCATTACAGAGTCGAACAACTGCTGCAACGTTGCGAGGCTGAGATCCATCATTTTTTTTCGTATACAATAATGCAGTCGTGACTGTATTAATGCACTCGTATAGTAATGACTTGGCGGGCGTGTTTTGGATGACTGTTGCGAGTGGATCCAGTAGTTTTCGAGCAAGACGAGGCTCTTCCGGCACTAAACTGGCTAGTAGCTTGACGACCTTAATAAGCATCCAATTGTTGGATGATGTGGTGAGAAGTCGAAAGAATTGCGGTGCCAATCCTAAATAGTTCTTGGGCTTTTTATTCGCAAGCTCGCATATTACGTTAACAGCACACGATACGACCGTAACGTCAGGCTCCTCCATCCTTTCTTTGAGTCGGTCAAACGATAGTCGCAGTCCTTGTGGGTACCGCAAGAACATTTTGTACAACACGAGCGTGGCTTTTTTGCGAACATACGGCTTTGGTGATCCCATCATGGCCAATACATCACCCAAAAGGTCTCGCGCCAAGTCCGTTGTGACGATGTTGGCCAGTACGTTAATCGCTAGACCCACCTCATACTCGCTCGTACTGCCAAACTCCTTCTTAAGCAAATTCGTACACAATAGCACCACGTCCGTAGACTGTGTAAAGCTTTGACAAGCGGCATTGTAACCAATGCGTTTGTGCGCAAACCGCTCGTAGCTCATGACTTCGACAACATGAAAAGCGGCCCAGCACATATCGTAGCCTAACATGTGTAAGTACGTAAGCTTGCGGACAGCCTGTGCCTTGATGAACGGGTCAGTGTTGCGCAGCTCCGCCTTAATTTCTTGCATAGCTTGCGAAATATATATGGTCACATCACCTTTAGTCGAGCGAATGCCCTTGACCAGGTCTTGAAGATTCTTCTCAAACATTTCGGACGATATAAACGTCTAGAAACGATGAGGAAACTGCAATTGAAAGCGTAGACGCACGACAAAAAGAAATGTCTACGTCGTGATAAGAAAGCAAATTATACACGACAGATAGAGGATGCAGAACAAGGTGAGACCCGAGATACGCTAATTAGGACTTTTTGTCGGACAACGCCGACGGGTTCTATACAAGGGGGAGGGCGAATGGAGAACCCGGGTCGATAAAATAACTCGAAACATTTCAATCAAAACAGCTTTCGGCCAAAAATCTTTTTTTTCTGTTATGAAAAATAAGTGAAAATTTTATGTGTCGGAGTGCATATGGCATCGAGCGAACAAAACAACATCGCAGCTGCCATTGTATTTACTAGCTGACACATAACTCGGTAAGAAAGCTTAGCCCATAACGAGCTCGAGCAAGATCATCAGAGTATTAATAATCATGAGTGGGACTGCATCGAAAGGTGAACAATGTTTAAAATGTAGAATGAGCAAGAGCGTTAGTATCACTTGTTTTCGCTACATTTAGCTTGATCAAATTCCCAGACGTACATCGTAAATACTGCACAGCGATAAGAAAACCTACAATTTGATTCTTGATAGTCATGCCCTGCGACGAATCCACTTTGTGCCAACCATCTGCGTAGTACAATTTGAGTCACACAAGCTACTAAATCACAGATACAACATGAAGGTAACCAGCAATCCATGAGCCATAAACTTACGCGAACGCAGAAATCGCTTTTCGTGCAAGATGCATACAGCGTTGGTCAGCAGAAGGCTCGTCAGTACAAAGTTCCAAAGCACACCCATGCTCTTGAGTAGAGTGCCAGAAGCTTTTGGCACTTTAATAGTTGTACCAAAAAATTAAGTACGATGCCATCCTGACAAACATTCTGTGTCTTAACATGATGGCTCGTAATCGAAGTTCCGAATGCCGGAGACGGCCTGATAGATGGAAGGTAACTAAAGAATGGAGCGAAGATAAAGTTCATAATCCAAGCCGTCAGACAATGCGAATGCTGCCGTGGCTGCTCGTGCGCTTGGTTATTGTTTGTTCCATAGTGGCAATCATTTTGCTGCTGGTCTCACAAAAACAAGAATTGACTCCCCCTCAGCACTCGCGTGAGGAAGCTAAAGGTATAGATACAAAATCTCGCCAAGCTTTGCCTCACCCTACAGTCCAAGTACTAGGCAAATTTCCTCATGATGCTAAGGCGTTCACGCAAGGCTTTACAATTGCTAAGCACGGTCAGGATTCATATTTTCTCGAATCAACGGGTCTGTATGGAGAATCAACATTGCGGTTTGTAGAAATTGAGACTGGAAAAGTGCTGAAGCAGCACAAGCTGTCAAATGAACATTTTGGAGAAGGTTTGACACTCGGTCCGAACGATAAAGTGGTCATGCTGACGTGGAAGAGTAAAACCGGTTTCGTCTTCGATTTAGATGCAAAGGGTAGAAATTTTGCACTTCAAGGTGAATTTAAGTTCAAAACCGTAACAGGTGAAGGCTGGGGCATTACTTTTGACGGCAATAATTATGCGGTGTCAGATGGCTCATCAATCATCTCGTTTTGGGATCCAACAACAATGACAGAGACCAGGCATATCGACGTTATGACTGGCCTTGGCACACAAAAAGTTCTCTACATCAACGAGCTCGAGTATGCCAAGGGATTCATTTATGCAAATGTGTGGTACCAACCATACATTTTGAAAATCAACCCTGACACTGGTGCTGTCGTCACGATATTCGATCTGTCCGATATTATTATTGATGCTGGCGTTGACGTGAACTCTGGTGCTGTTCTCAACGGAATTGCGTACGATAAAGTACAGGATGTGTTTTACATCACGGGTAAGCTATGGAACGCTGTATACAAAATTCATCTGATTGACTCTGTAGATTAAAATGTAATGATGAGTCAAAGGAGAATAAAATTGTTGCGTCTTCGCTATCTGAATCTTGGCTATTTTGTCGTAAATCCTTAATTTATTCCTCTTGCTGCAAAAATGGATTTGGAATCTCAGCAGTACCATCAACAGGCGACACAATCATGACGGATGTGCCTCTGCACACTACCAGACCAACCTTACGCGTCTCATTCGTAATTCGGTACTCATCGTTTGGATCGCGCAGGTACTCAATAGAGTCATCCAGTACTAGATTTACAAGCTGGTCGTAGCCCTTAAGCGTTCCTGTTACTTCGCGTCCGCCATGAAATTTCACACGTACTTCTTGGTCGATATACTTGGCCAGGTCCAGAATCGGGTCCTTACGAGTACTACCACTGCTTGTGCCGTTTGCTGCCATTGTCGTAGTTGTATAAAAGAAAATGGCTCTATTAATCTTCTATTGGTAAAAATTGATGCAATTCAGACTCATCTAAATCAAATCGATGAGTAGAGTGGACGAGCGAGTGTTAGACGGTGTGGTGCTGACCAACGCGCTGTCAACTGAGAGTAAGTCAGCAAAGTGATGCTAAATATTCGAGAGTATAAAACATAAGATATCACCGGCCTGCGTGCACATGATGCAGATTTTGAAGAGCTATGCAAGCTTGCAATACGGCTCTTTGGCACAGACAAGCAGAGTAAACGACGATTAACGCGGGCAGCATGTAAGTAAACGTGGTGTTTTAAACTCTATAAAATCTAAGGATGCTGAATAATAGCATTGCTGCGGTTGTATGCATTCTGTAGTAGCATGTGGGTGGGAGTCTGAACAGACGGAGCAAGCGGTTCTCGTTATTGCAAAGATTCTTATGGATGGTACAAAGGTTTATGACGCTTGCAGCAACGATATTGTTTTACAGCAGTGATGCTTATAGTTGTATGCCGCATATCTTGTAGGCTGACATGTCCGAGCATGCCTTTCGAGCATTTATTAGAGAAATGACGCTGCTGGAAAAACATGTCGAAGTCCTCGCACAGGTATGCAACCCCAATTACTTTTCTTTAGGCTATCGGACCCGACTTATCAATACCAGTTTTATAAAGCACACATGAAGGCCATTCGAGAGTGTGTGTCTAGGGATAAGAGCATCAACATTCCGCGTTATCAGAATTTGGAATGGCGAATCGACCTTGAGGTGATAATCTTGTTGCGTGTGTGACTTTGCTATGATGAAAGGCTGACTACTACGATAGCTTGGTACGCGTTTTCACCGACACAAGCCAAAACCTGTCGTGACGCTTCGCCTGGACACGGCTACTCAAGACTGTAGCTCTACTGTATCGCAAACTCAGTCGACTTGTCTACGCGTAAACTATGACGGTCTCAAATTAATGCAGCGCCAGCTTGAGACTGCGCTGAAAGAAGTCGATTCTATACATTGCAGCCGCATCCAGCGATTCTTGCACTAATCATGCAACATAAGCCGTGTCTTTTATTGTTCTTTCTTCTTGGTAGCTAGATACTGCTCTTTTGTCTTTGTGAAAGCTGTGACTTGATCCAGCTGCTGTTTGGATTCTTCAGAAATGACATCTTTCTGTAGTAATAACTCTGCAAATTTCGCTTGTTTCTTCTTTCTAGCTTCCACATCTGGTTTGATACGGGACTCCTGCCGCATTGCAAATACGCATTTAAGTAATCATCGACCTAATTTAGCCTAGTATCAAACGTACTACGTCACGACGAATCTCCTCATCGGATTTTGGATTCCAGTAGATGTAGCAAAGCGCGATGGGAATACCCAGCCGAAGCGTATAGTCAAGCAGCATTTTAGGTACTTTCATCTTAAATTAAATGCAAATATCACTCTTTTTTTAACACGATGATAATATCAGTAGCACGAGCGAGAAAGTTTTCTGTTGCACTTCGACGTGCATCTCAGGCTCGATGTGCAAGCTCTGTGTCTACCGCATTGCCGGAGGGTCTTCATGAAATAACATGCGTCCCGCGCACACCGTCGTGGTCATTGAAGGAGCTCCATTCGGCAGGAGCTCAGTTCAACGCCGAGGATGCTGTGCTGACAGAGGAAAAGGTATGGTTCTCCAGCTTGCGGATATATTTTATTGGATACTATATTAAAACTTGTTGAGCAGCTTCGTGAGCTGGCAGACCTGTGTCATCTGCACCTGGATGACGATCGCATCCCGAAGTTGCTCAAGGGAGTGGAGTCTATCATTCAGTGCACTAAAACAGTTCAGGCCATGACCATCAACGAGAAAATCGAAGACGTGTATGCCAAGCATGACTTTGGCATTGGTATGGATTGCTAGAAGTACGCTGATTTACAGAAAAATCCGTCTTTATTTTTATTTTATTTTATTCGTTTTGTAGACGCGGCACCTCTTAGAGACGACATCGTCACAGAAGGTGATTGTGCAGAAGAGCTTTTGGCAAATGCGGCTGTCAAGTGTGGCTACTACTTCAAGGTTCCGAAGGTATTGCAAGACTAAATTGTACATGTGAAAGAAGGCAGCGATAGCAATATCAAAAGTGATTTCAAATGTACAACATGATTTGACTCTGCATTCATTTGGATGCACACTATTTGGCTGGACAACGAGCAAAATTAGTTGCACGGCTTGAATACATCGGCTTGTGCCAAATATTCTTCCAGATCTACAAATAGGCAAGTTAGCATTTTGTTGATGATTCACATTTCATGATTATTATGATATAGCTTTAACGCACCTTCGACTTTCATATCAAGTCCATTGAGCTTGTGAATGCCCAGAAGTTGGTTTTGAAGAGACCCTTTGTGATACATAAAAAGTGTCGGGCAGTTCCGAGACGGCCAGTTCTCAATGCAAGCTTGAGCTTGAATGCTCACAAATTTAACGTCTCGATGCCGCTTGGCTACTTCTCGCAAAACATGGTCCATGATCTTACTCTCTTCAAGTGCCTCATCCCAAAGGTACGCAATCACCCAGTGGTCTTTACTTCCCTCTGTCACTACTGTAGTCCACTCGTTCTTGGCGATTGGCTCCACCTCACCAAATTTGTTGCGAGATGCTTGTTCTTTCATCTCTTGTATGCGGCGCTCGCGAATACGCTCCAGCTCAGCGTCATCGTCATAGTCGTCTTCCATCTCATCTAGCTCGTCTAACGTTGCATTCTCACGAGGATCCACAAATTCTTCTTCCTCCTCTTTCTCCTCGATAACTTTTGTTTTGGGAGCAAGTATACCCTTCTTAACCAAAATGTCCTCCCACTCAGTCGTCTCGCCGGTAGGCGCGTAGTACACGTTGCCTCGGTCGCCCATCGTAGTGTTGACACTTTAAAGGAAGTACGTACTCTATACTTAATTTGGAAAACGTTGTTGTCCACATGAATGTTTAACATTGTGCAAAATGTCAATAAAACATTGGTGGCAAGTGTACAAGCGTTAATTTCGTAGTATAAACAAACCACCGAAGTGGGAAGCGTACTGGTTCAAAAATTAGTAGTTTTGACTACAGAATGAGCTTGAAATCTTCTCATTGGTACTTCCCTGTTTCACTCTGGTAATCTTGTGTACCAAACTTGGTACAATTTGCTAAATACGGCACAATTGTAAGAAATTCGCTTGAAACTTAGAGTAATGATCTCGATTTGATCAAGATAATCCGAAAACTGAAGTACATTGTGAGCTGCTAGCCAGAATACAGGATTGATTGGATAATGAATAACATTATGCTGCATAATCCAATTGCACCAGCCGGAAGTACTTGGCGAACCACGGAAGGCAGCTTCGAGTTATAATTCTGCTGAGATTAGTTACATCATTATTCCCGTACTTCACAAAAAAAAACACCTAACCTACTTTTGAAAGGTGATTTTGTTAATATTAAAGGTGGTCAAAAATGAACCGAAAT